CCCTCCCCCTCAGTCCCACTGGCTTCACACTTGCCTGCCAAGCTCCCTGTCCTCTTCGGCCCTGCTTCGCCTCAGCCCTCCGGTGTCACCCCAGAGGGGGGGAGATATTGTAATGGGTCATCTGTGCTTGAGTTCTGTTTTGAGTTGGACTGAGGGCCTGTTTACACCTGGTCATTTAATGCGTTTTCGCTGATCAGATATCTATCGGATTTGTTAAAACGTTTCCATTTACATCTGGCCACAAAAATGTGTCGTCGCAAAACGGATTTAAATCCGATCTTCAATTCCCGCAATATATTTAAATTTAACGGAGTTCACGTCAACGACATCAAAAGATAAGCGCTGCATTTTATTAATTATCAGCTAATTTCAAGATCAAAGACCACAATAGGAGAGTGCGAGGCATCAGCACTGGAAAGATAAGTTTGTCTTACTACTTTTAATGAAGATGATTGTGTGATGACTGTCTGCGTATTACTTTGTTTCATTCGCGGCAGTTTGCGCGTCGGCTTGCTGAAGAGATACTCAGCTACTCGTCCACTGCGATGCGTGTTGCATTAGTGCAGTCATATCTGACTATAATGTCATATAGCCTATAACACGCTCTCACACATTTATTATTTGAACATTTTGGGAGGAGTAAAATTTACATATGTGGTTTCAACAACCAGATGCATTTACACTTGTCCAGTTTCGTCTGGAATGCGGCTCAGACTACCTCCTGAAGTGGTTTGAGCGATCGGATTTATATCCGTCTTGAATGTGTTTCATAGGGCATTTACACCTGGCCTTTTCACGATCGGATAGCTATCCGATCAGACAAAATACATGAAGTGACCCGGTGTATACAGCCCATGAGTTTCTTTCACACTGTTTCCTGTGTTAGTTCATGTGTCTTTTGTACCTGTTCATTAGTTGCCATGGTTTTTGATTTGCCCTCATCTGTTACACCTGTATCTAGTTAATTATCTTGATTAATCCCAAGTGTTTCCCTGTGTATTTAAGCCCAGTGTTTTCTTCAGTTCACTGGTCACTTCTCGTCGTGTATTTAGTGGTTGTTCTGTTCTTCAGTGTTCTTAGTTTTGTTGAATAAATATCTACATTGCTTCACTTAGATATAAAATATATATCTATAAACTTTGCATACATCGCTTAGATCTTAGCATGTTGGCCATTTTGGGCATCGACCATTTTGAATTTTGTTGAAAACCATGTCCTAAAAGAGCCTGAGAAATCTCTGTCAGCACCACCTAGTAGTAAAAAAATTACATACAAGCTTATAACTTTTGACATAAAAAGCAGCCAATCATACTTCAGTGGATAATAATGTTAAATCACAGGGGACCCCGATCCTGTTCCTGGAGATCTGCAGAGTGCCTATATCTTCTGTGCACAAAGTACAAACATCTCAAACATTTGTTACGTATGAAAAAAAGTAATTATGAGGAAACATGCTTAGTTCCATGTTTTGATGCTGGGGGTCTAACAGCAAATTCTAAACTATCAGCTATTTCAAATGTAAGATGAAAGCTGTATGACTACACTAGGTAAGAATTTTGCCCACTAGGACAGGATAAGAAATCTTTCAAAAGTAATATTTTCTATCCATTTCCACCACTTTGAATGGAAATATATGCACAGAACCTATTTTTATTTGATTTTATATTTGTATAACTACAGTGAACTGAAAATTAGTTACAAAAAAATCTGTAAAACGATTATAGACCATTAAATGTTAAAATTGTATACATCCCAATCAGTGCTTGAAGTGGGCCGGTACACACCGGTACGCAGTACCGGCACTTCTGTATTTTAGCTCACACGTTTATTATTTGAACATTTTGGGAGGAGTAAAATTTACATATGTGGTTTCAACAACCAGATGCATTTACACTTGTCCAGTTTCGTCTGGAATGCGGCTCAGACTACCTCCTGAAGTGGTTTGAGCGATCGGATTTATATCCGTCTTGAATGTGTTTCATAGGGCATTTACACCTGGCCTTTTCACGATCGGATAGCTATCCGATCAGACAAAATACATGAAGTGACCCGGTGTATACAGCCCATGAGTTTCTTTCACACTGTTTCCTGTGTTAGTTCATGTGTCTTTTGTACCTGTTCATTAGTTGCCATGGTTTTTGATTTGCCCTCATCTGTTACACCTGTATCTAGTTAATTATCTTGATTAATCCCAAGTGTTTCCCTGTGTATTTAAGCCCAGTGTTTTCTTCAGTTCACTGGTCACTTCTCGTCGTGTATTTAGTGGTTGTTCTGTTCTTCAGTGTTCTTAGTTTTGTTGAATAAATATCTACATTGCTTCACTTAGATCCTTTCTCATCTTTACTTTGCAACCTTTTGTAACAGGGTAAATTAGCATGAGACCCCAATCCCATACAAACATGACTTACTAATGTTTGACTACTGCAAACCTTTGTAAATCAAGTTATTTTTAGCATCTTAAAAACTTCTACAAATGCATATGCAATAAGGTCAGCCACAAAAATAACTATGTCTATGCCTTTTCATTGCTAATTTTTCACTGCGTGTCGTTAGTCCTGACAGTAGTTTTTTATTTTTATTTTTTAATGTTAAAAGAAGGTTTGAGCTGGTGCAAGCTTTTAGTAAATCTGGCCCTCAGTTTTGTGCTGTACTTGCCTGATTATCAACATCTTTAAACCTTAGAACATTAAACCAGTTTATTGATATTGATAATTGATCATGACCACACATTCTCATAGAAAAAGGGGTGTCATGTTACATTTTCTTTTATCTTAAGTGTTTGTGATATGTGAGGAAATGTTTCTCCTTCTAAACCCGAAGACTTGCATTGATAACAAGTCCCTAATTTGGAATACAAGTCAATGTGTGTGACTTAAGTGTGTGACTTAAACTCGAGTCTCAGAATTGATTTTCCATTACTTGCTATTAACATTATTTTTTGTTCAATGTAGATTCATACCGCGGGAGCTCTGCGTCTTGTGCCTTTCTCATAACGTCTTGGGAGGCGATCAGTTTCTCTGCCCCATCCCGTTCCCCCATCCTCCTGGAAGTATGGCAGCTCTAAAAGCTCTTCACATGACAACCTGCCAGATGGATCCATAACTAGGCAGGACTATAAAGACATGAACACACAAACATAAACATATATATTTCTTCAGACCTTGTGTACGACAGCCACCTATATTACTACACATCTAGCCTATACATACAAATAATGCATTGTAGTCTTTTTATGGATCTTCTAGTTTTAAAAACATATTTTTGAGCATTTAATTTAGCATCTTATTTCCATAAAGAGATGGTTTTGATATAATAGTAAAACATTATTTTTAAATATATATATATATATATATATATATATATATATATATATATAAAATATATATATGTGCGTACCGGCACTTCTGACATGTTGCCGGTACTCAGAGTCAAAGCGTCAGTGTCTGGTGAAATAACAGTATATAAATCACAGTACCAGTAGGGGTCACCTCTCATCTCGACAAATCGTGTTAATGAATGCAATCGGAGTTGGTCTGACTACCGCAGGGGTTGGCGCTTTTCCACTGTCTGGCCAGTGCGAGCCAGGACTAACGAGCCTGGCAGGGCCAATCCTTCGTTTCCACTGTCGGACCAGCGCTACTCTAAAAACCTGTCCTTAACACGCCTTTCTGAAACAAACGGCACACAGCATCATTTCACCAGCGAGGGGAAAATGAATGAAAACTATCACAAAATGAACTTGACAGAAGTTTCGTCCTTATAAAGTTTTAAAAAGTCTCCAGCATCGATATTTTACCAATGATTTACGATTAAAAAAGTTACAGTGACAGTAGTTTATTACTTTGTGTCAGAAGTGCGCATCAGCGATGCTAAATCCAACTAATGTGTTTAATTATTTCACATAAAATGAGAAAACACATACTTGTTCAGTCGCGGCTGCTCCATTTATTTGTAATCACAAAAATGCATAAAACAACTCAGTTCATTTAAGTCCAAAGGCATACACGTATAACACAATAGAAAAACACTGATAAACCCATATGTTTGCGTCAACTTCTTTAGAAAGATGGAGAATTTATATGAATTTTCCACTTGACTCCTAATTTGAATCAGTACATTATAACGAAAACAATACCTTAAAAATGAAAAGAAGCCAGTTTTATTCAAGTCATTAATGTAAACCGATAAACTCCAAGGAGGATCCAGTAAGCGAATTCAAACAGTTGTACAAAACAGCGCTAATGCAGAGAAAACACGGCCGATTTCATCAGAGATTGTGGAGATAATAGTGACTCACGTCCAGATCTCAGTACATTATTCTTTTCATTGTTTATTTGGCTCCCAAAAATGAAAATTACTCCATGATTTATTCACACTCAAGCCATCCTAGGTGTATATGACTTTCTTCTTTCAGACAAATACAATTGGATATGAAAAAATGTCCAAGCTCTTCCAAGCTTTATAATGGTAGTGAATGGGGGTCGAGATTTCGAAGCCCAGAAAAGTATGTCCATCCATCATAAAAAAGTACTCCACACAGGGTTAATAAAGGCCTTCTGAAGTGAAGAAAAATATCTATATTTAAAACCATAATCTCTAGTTTACGCTTACTGTTGTACGCACATTCATGAGAGAGTGGCATTTCAGCTGATGACGTAGGACGTAGGAGTAAGCTCTATTGAGAGTTGACGAACACGGAAGAGAACAATACAGAGGAGAGAGCAAAACAAAACACAGGTCACAAATTAGAAGTACAAAATGACATTTTGTAAAGAAAAAATGTCAGAGGATATAATTTAGAGGACTTCGATATAAGCCAAGAGGCAGTGCTTGAAGTGGGCCGGTATGCACCGGTACGCAGTACCAGCACTTCTATATTTTAGCCTTTAGAGTACTTGCACTTTTTTGTGCATACTGGCACTTCTGACATGTTGCCGGTACTCAGAGTCAAAGCGTCAGTGTCTGGTGAAATAACAGTATATAAATCACAGTACCAGGAAGGGTCACCTCTCATCTCAACAAATCGCGTGAATGAATGCAAGCGGAGTCAGTCTGACTACCGCAGAGGTTGTCGCTTTTCCACTTTCTGGCCAGTGCGAACCAGGCTTAACAAGCTGGGCGGGGCCAATGTTGCGCTTCTGCTCTCGGACCAGCGCTACTCTAAAAACCCGCCCTTAAGATGCCTTTCTGAAGCAAATGGCACACAGCATCATTTCACCAGTGAGGGGGAAATGAATGAAAACTATCGCAAAACGAACTTGACAGAAGTTTCGTCCTTATAAAGTTTTAAAAAGTCTCCAGCATCGATATTTTACCAATGATTTACGATTAAAAAAGTTACAGTGACAGTAGTTTATTACTTTGTGTCAGAAGTGCGCATCAGCGATGCTAAATCCAACTAATGTGTTTAATTATTTCACATAAAATGAGAAAACACATACTTGTTCAGTCACATTTCTGCTCCACAAAAATGCATAAAACAACTCAGTCCATTTAAGTCCAAAGGCATACACATATAACACAATAGAAAAACATTGATAAACCCATATGTTTGCGTCAACTTCTTTAGAAAGATGGATAATTTATATGAATTTTCCATGAAATAATATAATGTGAGGATGTTTGGGCGCTGTCCTGTTTCACTATAGGCTACTGTTATCCTTTCAGCCAAACTGTGTGAGGTGCAAGAGCATGTCAAGAGAAGTAGAATAATAATGAATTACTCATTTGAATCAGTACATTATAACGAAAACAATACCTTAAAAATGAAAAGAAGCCAGTTTTATTCAAGTCATTAATGTAAACCGATAAACTCCAAGGAGGATCCAGTAAGCGAATTCAAACAGTTGTACAAAACAGCGCTAATGCAGAGAAAACACGGCCGATTTCATCAGAGATTGTGGAGATAATAGTGACTCACGTCCAGATCTCAGTACATTATTCTTTTCATTGTTTATTTGGCTTAAAAGCAAGAATGTTTTATAATGGACGCTGGCTGGCTGAGGTGTTATGTGGTGGTAAGAAGTTTAGCGATTCTGAATGTATCCAGTCAGGTCAAGGCAAGAGGTTTAGTCATCTTTGGCATCTCACTGTGGTCCTGTTTGGTATCGCAGCTTGACTTGTGCTTATTTGGAAAACGTTTATTTAATTATTGATTGTGGCACTACACATAGCCTACATTGTGAATTATGAAAATTAAAAAGTACCTATTTAATATAAAAAATAAAAAAATAAATAAGTGGCGGGGGGGGGTTGAGTACCAGCACTTATTTTTTTCCACTTCAAGCACTGATCCCAATAATACTGAAATCATTAAATCAAGTCAAGTTATCATGCCAAGTTTCAAGACATGATACAAGACCCTTTTAAGGAAATATATAGCATAAAATATCTATAAATAACACTTATGTGATTGTTTTATTATTGACTTATCTGACTAATTGCTTTTCCACTGACTAACAGAATTGATTAGTCAGACAGTTGTTTACATTAATATTTTCTGCTAGAAAGGATTTATTTGTTCTACTATTTATTTGAATTTCTATATTTTTTCTTACTGCATTTGTTTGTAATTAAAACAATGGCTTTCGGTAGGAAGAAGCTATTTGCTATTTATATTGCTCGTTATATCTATTGTGCTTAAGTGCCGAACTGTACTGCTGTAGTTTTGATATGAGATATTCACATGCTACAGGCTTTCGGTTTTCTAATTATAAATTCATTCAAGCTTTGATCAGCCGTATATTTAACTGGATTCCGAAAGCACCAGCCCTCGTGTGAAGCCTTCCTCGGGTAAAGATTTGCAAGTCTACCTGTACTTTGTTACTATACACCTCTACTAGAGACACCAAACCTGGTGGGATGGTCAGATATGCCACTGCTCAGGCACACCCACAAACATACATGCCACTATGTGGCACTATGATAAAGTAAAGCTTTTTAGCTCATATTTCTGGAACTGTAATTGTCTAAATCATTGAGTAAAGCCCAACAAAATGTGTATCTCTGATTTGCATATATAAAATGTTCGAAAAATTATTTCTTTTTTTTTTTTTCAAAAGAATTTTGATTTGTTTAATCACTGTAGATATATTAGCAAATATATTGGCCCATAATTACTTATTGTTGTGAATGCAACGTCAAAACTTCACATATCTTGGTATGCAGGGACAACAGGAAATTCTGAGGAAACATGCCAAATGTAACAAATTCTGATGCTTGGGGGACTTCTAAAAGATCAGCCATTTATATCAACCATTTATATAATTTATATCAAAGTCATTTATATGAATACTAATGTTGTCCATCAGAAGGAGCCATAGGATAATTGATCTTTTTAGGACTCATAGAATCTGTAATTAAAATGCATATAAATTCTTTTTAGCTTATTAGAGTTTAATAGAATCCATTTGTAAAGAAATCTCCAAAAGGCCTATAGATCATTACATTTTTAATGTTTAAACTTAATTTTTATCTCAATGATATTGAAAACATCTAGTTGCTAGACATGATTGAAAGTATTGCTGTCCAGTTAAAATAAAGAGACTTTATTCGTCTCTTTTATCATAATACATTAAAGACTCATATGCAGTGTTGGGAGTAATGCGTTACAAAAGTAATGTATTACAGTAACGTATTACTTTTTCCTGTAACGCAGTAGTGTAAGGCATTACTAATACATTTTCAGTAATATTTTACTCGGTACATGTTCAGTAACGCTTGCGTTACAACAAACTTTTCGCCCGCAAGACATTAACGTTCTTAGCAATGCATATTACTAATCAAAAATTAAGTTTTGATATATTTATGGTAGGAAATTTACAAAATATCTTCATGGAACATGATCTTTACTTAATATCCTAATGATTTTTGGCATAAAAGAAAAATCAGTAAGTTTGACCCACACAATGTATTTTTGGCTATTGCTACAAATATACCCCAGCGACTTAAGACTGCTTTTGTGCTCCAGGGTCACATATTATATTTGAAAAGAGACATATCCATTGTTTCACTGTATCGTTTACATGAGCCGCTGGTGTTTAGATTTTTTTATGCTGCTGTCTTGGTTTTGGGAGCTGTCCTTAGTGAGGATATTATACTCATTTACTTAGTGAGGACATTATCACACATATACATTCGGCAGATGCTTTTTTATCCAAACAGACTGCATTCAAGGTATGCATTTTATCAGTTCATACAGTACATTCCTTGGGAATCGATTTCCTGATATAGTTGTTGCTAGTGCTGTGCTCTACTGTTTGACAGCATTGTGAGAACACCATGTTTAAATCTAGATGCAAGCTTTGGCAGAGGTGAAAATTATCACTGACCCCGTCTGTGGAAAAGTGGCATGTGAGGCTTATAAGCCTGTATTGACATCTCACCTTCATCACAGTAATAGCATGAGGAGAAACACCATGGAACCTCTTCTCTAGTGGCTCCTACAACAACAGCAACAACATCAAAATCTAATTTACATTCCACAATGATTTTTTTTTTACAAGTAGGTGTGTATTTGTGCTACCATGGTATCAGGCTCAGGGATGCTGACGCCACTAAAGAAGACATTGGAGTGAAACACCTGCTGATGCCGTGGGATCAAGTCACCTATCGGGGTCAAAGTTCAAAGGTTAAGAGTCAGTGTGTAACCCTTTTTTTATGAGATTTAGACCAACTTTAGTCATACAACTGAAATGAAATAGGCTCTTAAAGTGGTGAAAGGTCAATGGATAATAACAATTTTAGAATTATTATTAATATTATTATTATCTGCCTTTTTTCTTTCAAGATATGATTCAATTTTACAATAACATTATCACAGTTAAATGGCAGGAAAAGCCATTTTGTATTGATTACTACTGATAACAGTACTATATATAAACAGGAAAGTTCCTAATATTTCTACAACTAAAGTAAAATGACAAAAACTCTTTGTTTGAAATGTTTCTAAATCTTAAAAACATTTTAATTTCCAGGTATAAACTGGATTTTAAATTCCACATTTTAAGTGGTCTCAGACTTTTGGAACCTTTTGTATTTAAAGGTGACCTATTATGCAAAAATCACTTTATAAGATGTTTAATCACAGTTGTGTGGCCGCAGTGTGTGAAAACAACCAGCCTATAATGGTAAAAATCCACCCGTTTTTTTATAATCCCAGTAAATCATAAACAGCCTCTCCAAATGAGCGATTCCAGATTTCTCCCTATATACACGTCATACTAGGGAAAGTCCCGCCACTTTGTGACGATCTCTGCCCTATTAGCATAGACCCCGCCCTGAGTGAGACGCACCAGTCCGCCAATGCCAGCGCCAAAGACGCATTATAAGTGTCGTGTGTTGGGATGCACCAACGAACATAGGAGTCTCCATAGACCGCTGAGGACATGTCCTGGAAGGAAATGTCCTGGAAAAAAACGGAAAAGTCCTATATGTTTGTGCCAATCATTTTACGCCGGACTGCCTCACAAACGAGGGTCAGTTCAGTGCTGGAGTTGTGCAAAGAATGCTTCTGAAAGAGGGATCGATACCAACGCTTCATGCGCGAATGTCAGCTCCAGGCAAAGTTAGCATCATCATATTTTGTTTTCCAAAAGAGCTTCTTGGCTCTCTGTAAGGCTAATGCTGCTAAAGCTACCATTGTCTCTGCCTGTTTTCACTGATGCTGCCTTCACGTGCTACCAGAATGATCGTAAATAGGAATGTGGTAGTTAAAAATTGCATATGAAAGCAATGTGAAGTCGATCTCTTGGATTTGTTGAGCTCATAATGTGATAGCAAGGCACCAAGAGGCCAGCTATGTTGTTATATTTATCGCGCTGTGCTCCCCGTCTGTGTAATTCTTAAACGCGCATTTACTGCACAGTACAGTCAGAATGCATCCTGTTTTATTGTTGCCGGTATGCCAGAGCATGAGATCTTGAAGCTCCACCCTCTTCTGAAAAGGGAGGCGGGAGCACCAGCTCATTTGCATTTAAAGGGACAAACACAAAAATGGCACGTTTTGGCCAGACTGTAAAAAAACATGGATGTAGTCTCCGTGACGTCACACGTAGGTTTCTAAAGAGCATTTTTGAAGCTCAAATTGCACAGAGACGGTCATTGCCATCTTGGCTGCGCGTCACTCCTGGATAATCGAAAATGGGCAAAAAGGCGGGACGTGGGTGGAGCTGGTTGCTGAAACCATGCCCACCTAGCTCGATGGTTGTGACAGCAGTGGCAATCCACCTGTGGATTCAAGTGGCCACGCCCTTAATTATGCAGAACTTTAAGGCTTACTATAATTTAAATGGATGATTTATTAAAAAATTCACCCCCTTCACAGTTGTCACGAAGGGCAAAATTAGCTATATAGCCCAAAATCACTTTTTGTACCAGGCTGTAAACATATTTTTTCCTGCTGTAAAGTTGGGCACTTTAACATGGAGAGTCTATGGGACTGACTCCCTTTTGGAGCCAGTCTCTAGCGGCCAGTCGATTAATTTCCATGTTGGTTTCAAGAGAGAGACCGGAAGGTTGCCGCTTGGTTTTGGCTCATACCCTAAAAGTGGCAAATTATCTGTGGGGTATTTTGAGCTAAAACTTCACATACACACTCTGGGGACATCAGAAACTTATTTCACATCTTGTAAAAAGGGGCATAATGGGTCACCTTTAACCTTCAGTGAACAAACTTCCTCCTTTCTTTCAATTTTAGTACCCAGGGTTTGTCGTATGAGGTGCAGCTGATCCACGTCAGAACGTCCCGGCCAAAGAGGATTTCCAGAAAGCAACTCGGCAAAGACACAACCGAGGGCCCAGACATCCACTGGGGGACCATACTGAGTATCTCCGACCAAGAGTTCTGGGGCCCGATACCTCATGCACACACACACACACACACACACACACACACACACACACACACACACACACACAACACATATACAAATACACACTTTTTTACTTAGCTATCTAAATGGGGACCTTCCATAGAGTTCTGTTGTTTTTATATGCAGTTACTTATAAATACTATAACCCTAACCTACATCCTAACCCTAACAGAAAACTTTCTGCATTTTTACAACTTTATTTACTTTATCCCATTTTTACAAATGAGAACATGCTCAAAAGGAGGTTTTGACATGTTTAGTTCCCGTCTGGATACAAATGTGTCCACAAAACATGGATTAGTAGCTACACACACATAGATTCAGAATTACATGTACATCATACAGAAAGGATTACAACATGCTGATGGATAAACCTCGTGTTAACCTATAGTAACAATACGCTGAAGCCCAAGGATGATGCATGTAAGCAGATCCTGACTGGCTGACTGCACCTGTGAGGCTTCATGCTGCCCTGAAAGTGAGCTCAGGACACATGACAGCTGATATAGGTAGGAAGTATAAATAAGTCATTAATGAAGTGAAGATGCTAAATGCATATAAATGGCTAGAGAGTGAGTGAGTGGGGCAAAGACACTTACTGAGGATGCGAGCAAAGCCAAAATCACATAGTTTGATCACACCGGTCTTGGTCAGAAGAATGTTCTCCGGTTTGACGTCCCGATGGATACACTGGTATACACACACAAAGACCGACACTGTCAGAGATACATACACAAAACTCCCACTATAATAAGGTAGGGATTTTTAAAAGACATCTTCTTTCTAAAAAATAACCTTAACACAGGCGATACAACTAATCTAGCAAGAATCTAGCACAAAAAGAGCTCAATAAAAGTAATTAATCGTGTCCAAATTTGCAGTATTCATAACATAGTAGGCAAAAAATACCCAGATTAGGGCTGTGCAATTAATCGCATGCGATTGTCATGCGCATCTCGTCAGTAAAGCCGGTTCCGTGATTGGTAGTAAATCGCGACTACTACCACAAGACTCAAAGTGTTATACGAATAAGATTAATAAGATTAAAGAGTTAAATAGAATAATCAGATGTCTAGACAAATTATCCTATGAATGATCAATCATAATTGGCATTCTAACCTAAATTCGACGTCAAAATAAAATGGAGTCAGATTAGAATTTAATTGAAATTAAATTACTTTGTTCACTGAAACGACAGAATATGCAGGAAACCTTAAGCCACCATTGGATACCTTTGTTGGGCCAATTGGGTGGACCTTACAGCAGAGAGATGTTGATAGAGTTCAGTAATTCAAGTGGAGGAAAAACTTCAGAATTTTTTAATGAAGTTTATTTTTGAAGTTGCATGAACAATGCACGTCATCCATGTATGAGCATATGTGCACTTTGGTCTTTGGTGCACTTTGGTGGAATAGATGCGATTTAAAATGTTTATATGTCTGTTTATTCTGATTGAAATCGGCATACACCACATATGTTATTTCAGTTATGGTTACTGTGATTATGAGCTTAATTGCATCAGTTTGATCAAAATATTGGTAACGTTTAATAGCAATATTGCCTAAATCTCATTATATTCGCATTATGAGGGTGCATGTAAACGTAGTCATTGATTCAGTGACTCCTGCTGTAGGTCATGAGATTTTAACAAACGTATTCCAAGACATTTTTTTTATTGTTAGCTGTCTCCTCCTCATTCCAAAAATGAGCTTCTTCAATAGTGAGACTTTTCACAGTTGTCTGTAGCAGTCATAAGTGACACACTGGTAGACGGGAAAAGAGAGGCTGGACATACTGACATTCTGTTTGTGACAGAAGTTCACGGCCTGTAGAGTTTGCCACAGAATACTCTTGAGTTGTGCCTCAGGAACCCTAAAGGGGGGGAAAAAAGGGACAAATGTTAATATCCAGCCTCTTAGACTCTGCTGACTACAGATTAGCAGGATCTAACATTCTGCCATAGTTGGCAGGATCTACCAACAGTTAAATTATCTTGTTCTCTAAATATCAGTGCAGCTCCCATATATCTGCAGTAACCATGGGCCTGTAGTCACTGGCAACCAGTTCCTTTGTTTTGAGAAGCAGCTAAGGTTACGACTGAAAGGCCTTCTGGGAAAGAGAGAGAGAGAATGCTGGGCAGCCACAGCCTTTGTAGTCTGACCAGTTTAGTAGCTCTAAAAAAAACGGCTAGATACAGCCTATAGAAGTCAGCATGAAATAACATTAAAGAATCAGGAAATCCATCAAGAAGATTGCATTGTGAAAAGTGGGCATCGAAGTCGTAGGAGAGGAGGGGCTAAAAAGAAAGAGGGATTGGTGAAGTCAGCCGAAAAGAAAATTGTTTCTAGGGTGAGACTAGTTATTACATTTGAACAGAAGATTACAGATGCAAATATTTTTGCAAGAAGACTAGGAACGCAAATAAATAGGGTTGGTTTTAATTTCTGAGATAACAGTATAAACATAATTTTAATTTTAGAAATAACAGTATAAACATAATATATATAATAGGTTACAATTTTTTTTTTTTTTTATCTAATTGCATGACGTGCTGATTATTCAAAGTAATCACAAATTAATCCTGCATTAATTTTGTCAGAGAAATTACCCCCCAAAAGATCATTTAAAATCATTATTCTGTTGAATGAGAAAAGCATTGAATAGACACTAACAAAAATAAAGTTTTTAACTTTAATTTAACTTTTTTTAAAAAGTTAAAAAAGATCTTAAAGGTCCCATGGCATGAAAATTTCACTTTATATTCGCATTATGAGGGTGCATGTAAACGTAGTCATTGATTCAGTGACTCCTGCTGTAGGTCATGAGATTTTAACAAACGTATTCCAAGACATTTTTTTTATTGTTAGCTGTCTCCTCCTCATTCCAAAAATGAGCTTCTTCAATAGTGAGACTTTTCACAGTTGTCTGTAGCAGTCATAAGTGACACACTGGTAGACGGGAAAAGAGAGGCTGGACATACTGACATTCTGTTTGTGACAGAAGTTCACGGCCTGTAGAGTTTGCCACAGAATACTCTTGAGTTGTGCCTCAGGAACCCTAAAGGGGGGGAAAAAAGGGACAAATGTTAATATCCAGCCTCTTAGACTCTGCTGACTACAGATTAGCAGGATCTAACATTCTGCCATAGTTGGCAGGATCTACCAACAGTTAAATTATCTTGTTCTCTAAATATCAGTGCAGCTCCCATATATCTGCAGTAACCATGGGCCTGTAGTCACTGGCAACCAGTTCCTTTGTTTTGAGAAGCAGCTAAGGTTACGACTGAAAGGCCTTCTGGGAAAGAGAGAGAGAGAATGCTGGGCAGCCACAGCCTTTGTAGTCTGACCAGTTTAGTAGCTCTAAAAAAAACGGCTAGATACAGCCTATAGAAGTCAGCATGAAATAACATTAAAGAATCAGGAAATCCATCAAGAAGATTGCATTGTGAAAAGTGGGCATCGAAGTCGTAGGAGAGGAGGGGCTAAAAAGAAAGAGGGATTGGTGAAGTCAGCCGAAAAGAAAATTGTTTCTAGGGTGAGACTAGTTATTACATTTGAACAGAAGATTACAGATGCAAATATTTTTGCAAGAAGACTAGGAACGCAAATAAATAGGGTTGGTTTTAATTTCTGAGATAACAGTATAAACATAATTTTAATTTTAGAAATAACAGTATAAACATAATATATATAATAGGTTACAATTTTTTTTTTTTTTTATCTAATTGCATGACGTGCTGATTATTCAAAGTAATCACAAATTAATCCTGCATTAATTTTGTCAGAGAAATTACCCCCCAAAAGATCATTTAAAATCATTATTCTGTTGAATGAGAAAAGCATTGAATAGACACTAACAAAAATAAAGTTTTTAACTTTAATTTAACTTTTTTTAAAAAGTTAAAAAAGATCTTAAAGGTCCCATGGCATGAAAATTTCACTTTATGAGGTTTTTTAACATTAATATGAGTTCCCCTAGCCTGCCTATGGTCCCCCAGTGGCTAGAAATGGCGATAGGTGTAAACCGAGCCCTGGGTATCCTGCTTTGCCTTTGAGAAAATGAAAGCTCAGATGGCCCAATCTGGAATCTTCCCTTTATGTCGTCATACGGGGAAAGGTTACCTCCCTTTCTCTGCTTTGCCCGCCCAGAGAATTTGGCCCGCCCATGAGAAAATGAGCTACTACCGTGCGAGGTGAGCGCAATATTTTTTTTTCCTCGAGAGACATCATGGCTTGCAAACGAGCGAAGCATGGCAGTTGCCCCGCCTCTCTCCTCCTCATTAGCATTTAAAGCTACAGACACAGAAATGGCACGTCCTAAGGAAAGCTCATTGTGGGACTGGCTCGTAGTGGCTGAAATTCTGCACCAAGGCTGAATTTCGGGAAAGAGACTTCAGATACAGTACTAGGGACCACTTAGGCCTATATAAAAGCATCCAAAAAGCAGCATGTCATGGGACCTTTAAAAAGTAGCTATTTTAATTCAGTATTGCATAAAGAACACACCAGTATAAAATGTTCAATAATAAAAAAGAAAATGAAAAGGAAAGAAAAGAAACTGGGAAGGGAAAAAAACAAGATAAGCTTCTATAGGGGCAAAATACCTAAAAAAGAAAAAAAAACTGCTGAATTTCCTTGATTTTTATTTATTTTTTGATCCTTTGATATGTTTAAAAAATAGTATTCTAATGTAGATATTGCTACGGAGTGCATTTGTATGTCAAGTACCAGCCTTTATATGGTATAAGCATATTTTCAAAAAAAAAAAAAGGGAAATGTGACTGACCCTCTGGGGTGTTTGTCCAGTTCATTTAGAACAGTTTGCTCACAGAACTCAAAGACCAGATGAAGGCGTCTCTTTCTCCTGAAGACCTCGAGCAAGTTCACCAGATTCACATGCTTCAGCTGCTACATGGATACAAATGAAAATGTTTATGCATACGTGTGCAAATACATGGGGGATTTGCAATAAGTAAGTGTACAATCCCCATATCTTACCTTCAGCATGCGGATTTCTCTCAGTGCGATCTTCTTGATGACCGGGTCATCTTCAGACTCAACAAACTTTTTAATGGCCACTATCTGACCAGTGTCCCTGTGTCTGCATTTGAACACCACTCCGTATGAGCCCTCGCCGATCTTAGCCAGTTTCTCATACTTATCCATATCACAGAGATCATGAAGCGTTACATACTGCAGTGCAAACAAACAAACAAACACACAAAGTCATACTGTATGGTGTGGAAAAACTAAAAGGTCAATAAATGAATTAAATTAAACTTTAAGAAGAAACACTACAGTATATGGCAACAAGTATGGACACCTGAATATCACTTCCACATATGCTATTAATTTCAAAAACCATGGCCATTAATAGGGAGTTTGCTACATTCTCTCAGAAAAAATAAATATGCTGGAAATTGGCTGATTTGCTCCCATTCAGACAGTAAGGTCAGACACTGCTGTTAGTCGATGGGGCCTGGATCACAATGCAGGTCAAGTTCTTCAACACCAAACACAACAAATCATTTATATATGAACATCGCTTTGTGCACAAGGGCATTCAATGTCATCCTGAAACTAAAAAGGAGCCTCCCCAAACTGTTAGACTCCAAACACAAACTTAGAAGCACAAAATTCTGCAGAATGTCATCGAATGGAGAAGATTTATTTCCACAGTAACACTTTATTTTGATGGTCCCCTTCTGCAATTCTGTTGACTATAGTAACTTTGCCACTACATGCCAACTAACTCTCATTAGACTATTAGCAGACAGTTAGGTTAGGATTAGGGATAGTAGAATAACTTGACATGCACTTGCAAAGTTAGTCAGTAGAATGTCTTTTGGTGAAAGTGAAAATAAAGTGTTAGCAGATATTAAGCAGACAGTCTCCTAATACTCCAGTGACTGCTATTTGAGACGGAGTTGCAAAGTTATGAGATATCAAAATAAAGTGTCACCATTTTCACTGAAATTCCTGTTAACCAAAGCAAAGCTAAATTGTCTTGTCTTGAATAAACCAGTTAATGTAAATAACATTAACATAAAACTAACATAATCAATTACTAGTATGGTAATAAAAAATAACTTTAGATATTTCCCCAAAAAATGCTGTTTTTATCCATTTATTTATTTTTAATCTGCCTATTTAATGAATAGATAACAAGTATGATGGGTAATTTTGATCAAATATGCGAACTGATATTTATTTATTTTTTTTAGACTTAAGACCTAAAAGCCATTAAAAATCGCAATACAATACAATATATAGAGAGAGACAGAGAGAGAGAGAGAGATTCAAATAAGCTAAAATGTGAATGTGAATTAAAAGCACAATCTACGTTGCTTGGTCACCTTACCTGAAGAACGACTCGTGTCAATTACAATTCCAAAACTTTTCTCATCTCCTCTATGTTAAAGAATAACAGTACTTCCTCATTGGCTGTGAGCATCATTTCACTGTTTATTACAGTCGCAAATATTCCTCATGAGCTCCAAACACGCAGTTCTTTCAGTTCAGTGCCTGCACTTTCCTGAGGCATTGTCTTCCAGAAAGCTGCATCCTATAAGCCGTCGTTCCGGCAACGTCACTGGACATGCGTCGATTTATTCTCTCCAGCGAGTCATTTTAGAAGAGTTTTTACGCGCAGACGGCGTGAAGAAATAAACGAGAAGTAGTACTGGCAGCACCTGGACGTATAGGCAGCTCTCTGAGCTCACTGAGACGGTGTAAGTGATCGCTGTGCAATGTGACACAACCCTTCCACCTCTGTGAGGCTCTGTGCAATGGGGCTCTATAATATAACGTTACATTACATTTATTTACATTTCTTGTCTACTCTATATTGGAGTTTTCCAAGTAGTGTTTAAGTTTCAATCCCAGGGCTGCTGGTTCACTGAAAATTTCAGGGAAAAAATTAATAAATAACGCTTTGGACCAATATTGTAAGCGTGATACAATTTATTTATCTATCCATATTTATTTGTTTGTTTGTATTAATATTTTCCAAATAATTCTAACCTTAACCATGCCCTTACGCCATACCTGAAAATGTGTGCATTTCCCAAAACATGTGGTTGCACACAGTAAATCTATAGTCTATAGCAGGGGTGTCCAAACTCAGTCCTGGAGAGTTTAGCTCCAGCTCATCTCAACACACCTGCCTGGAAGTTTCTAGTATGCCTAGTAAGATCTTGATTTGCGTTAAAGGGGTCATATGATGCGATTTAAATTTTTCCTTTTTCTTTGAAGTGTTACAAGCTCTTGGTGCATGAAGAAGATCTGTAACATTGCAAAGACTAAAGTCTCAAATCCAAAGAGATATTCTTTATAAAAGTTAAGAGTCAGCCACGCCTACCTAAAACGGCTCGTTCTAACACGCCCCCACATACCTACCTCACTATGTGGGAAGATTTGCATAACGCCGCCCAAATGTTCACGCAAAGAAAGAAGGCGTAACTTTTATTCTCACTGTAGTATTGTTGTTGCCGCCGCCATGTCGTGAAGGCGCTGTGTGTTTCGTTGTGAAAGTGAAACTACTTTGTTTGGCCTTCCAAAAGAGGACCATATCCGCTTCATCATGCCTGGAGCTGATCCGTGCTGGTCACTGAGGAAATACATCAACTTCGCACTGTGGATCGCCGGATCAGCTTTCACCGTGGACGAAGCGGAGTCCAGCCTGGGGTCGTCACATGTGGTTGCCGCAAGCCCTCCGGACGCTCCTTCGTCGAACCACCAGCTCTTTTGGAAGGACACGACTAGAAATCAGTGGTTAAGTTGTATTTACAACACTGTTCCAGAACAGTTCAACCCAAATATTCAGATGTGT